AAAATTTTTATTCCTTCCTATAAAACATAAATTTTCTATATTTTTTATCTGATTATATTTTCTAAATTTTTATAAAAATGTTCCTAATGTTATGTTAAGTAATCTGCCATGTGGACTTATTGCTAGAAAACTCTTTTCGGGATATTTCACCTTTTGAATAGAGTAAGGAATATAAACTGGGATTAAGAACCTATATCTTCTTTCTAATATGAAGGTAAATTGGCTTTAGCCCATGCATCATGTGACAAAATTAAAATCAATTGCCAACAGATCTGGAGATAAGACACCATTTCATCATGATTATATTTCTTTGTCAAAACGAGAATAATGTGAACTTATATATTGGTGATGATGTTTTATTAAAAAGAACCAAAAAAAGGACAAAAACATGAGCTAAGTAGTAAGAAAAGAGAAATATGGTAAGAGAAGCTTCTTTCACATTCTTCCACATATAGGAAATAAAGTACCAAATGATGAAGTTCATCAAACAAATATTACATGGAAGAGAGCAACCATCTTTGGAAACAGGATAAAGAATGGAAAACATGGATAAGAAGAAAACATCTAAAAAGAATAGATTGATGTCTCTCATGTTGAACTAGCAAAGTTCAAGAATGCCAGGTAGAATGGCCTACAACTGGAATCCCAACAATTAGGAAGCCTGAGGCAGGATAGCAAGTTTAAAGCCAACCTCAACAACTTAGTGAGGCCCTTAGCAACTTAGTGAGACCCTATCTCAAAATAAAATTTAAAAAATTAAAGGACTGAGGAGTTCAATCACTAGTGCCAAAACAAGGGGGAAAAGAAAGCAAGCTCAAGATCATGTACATTTGAGGTGGAGTGTGCCAATTCTTTCATCTCTGTCCCAGCATTTCAGGCAGTTTTTGAGTGTCAGGAGAAACAGCTGATTGGTGAAAATCTTAAATTCTAATATATGATTATTATTTTGAGATTACATATCAAAATAATGATTATCCTTAATCTTATCCTTAACATTACATCCCAAGACTTGGTGGCTGCCACCTTCTCCTTATTGTCTTCATAGCTTCTTTGATGTCCTTGTTCCTCAATGTGTAAATTATAGGGTTCAGCATGGGAGTAACAACACTATACAATACTGAAATCAGTCTGTCTTTCTCCAATGAGTAAGATGAAATGGGCCGCACATATGTGAAAATGGCACTACCATAATAGAGAAGGACAATGACCAGGTGAGAGGCACATGTAGAAAAGGCTTTGTGTCTCCCCTCTGAAGAGTGGATCCTCAAGATGGTGGAGATTATGTAAACGTAGGAAAGGACAATGCACAGTAAAGGAGTCCAACCAATGAAGACTCCAATGGATAGCAACACCAGTTCATTGACAGAAGTGTCCCCACAAGACAAGATCAGCAATGGGGGTATGTCACAAAAGAAGTAATTAATCTGGTTGTTGCAGAATGGCAGACGGAATGTCAGTACCGTATGCACCACTGAATTGAGGAAACTACCAATCCAACATGAGGCTGCTAACTGGCTATACAGGGCCTTGTTCATAATAACTGTATACCTTAAGGGTTTGCAGATGGCAATGTATCGATCATATGCCATTGCTGCCAGGAGGAGACACTCTGA